AGATAATTTAAGCGCAAAGAAGAACTTCCTGATATTATCCAAAGTAGGGCGCTTAATCGAAAATTTATAAACCAAATCATATTCGGCGCAGCTAAGCCCAGATCTCCTCTTCAAAAATTCAAAGAGACGGTAAACCTTTATGCATGGAATATGCTAAATCAGGAAAAACTTGTGATAAAAAACCGCCAGCTAAGGCTTCCTTGAAAGACTTGGAAGGATTCTTCGAGTCCAGGAAGCCTAGATCTGAATGCTTAAGAGGCTGATTCGCCATGCATGGAATCACACCAAGATGAGAAATCAATAAAAAAGAAAATCTGAAACCATGAGAGGAAAACCATAAAAAAAAATGGAATGGAAACGAAATGATCAAACAAAGGATGAAAAAATCCAATGAAAGGAGAACAAAGAAGATGGCTCGACAAAAATCCTAGCAGAGCATTTGCACATAAGCAAAATTTTATCATTGTAATCTCAACATGGGTTTATTGGGTCCTTGTACAATTGGCAGCTTTCTTAACCATTGCTATGTTCTCATTAAGACATGGAGATGATTAATGTAAGATCTTTAATTGGAAACCTTTCTATGTACATGATTCATGACATACTTGTTAAATTTACTCAATTCTTTACTATGGATGTCGAAATTTTCATTATCCTATCTTGATTTCTTTCCCTCAATTTCCTTTACACTTTTAAAACTATAACATACTTTCTCATTGGCATCCATTTTTTCTCAACCCTTGAAAATTGATTAGGTCACTATTTATTTTTTTAGACGATCTATTACTAAAATTCTTGTAGAGATTGACATGTTTTTAATTTTTTAAAATGAGATTTGGTTGGAATCCTAGAAGCATGTCTACTTATGTGGACCATTTTAATTGGGTTTATGATATTTCGGGTTATAACTACTTTGATGTTGAACTTAAACAATAGATCAAGAAGTAATGTGTTAATGGAGGATATTGATTTCAACATTGTGCAAGTTGTTAATGATGGCTTCTCTAGGGTGTTAAGCAAAAAAAAAAGTAAGAGAAATAAAAACATAAACTTGGCCCAAAACTTCAAATAGTCTATAGTTAGAGCTACTAGATCTAAGTCTACTGTTTAGTTCTTTTGGTATCTTCTTGGTTGGGTTGTGAGCTTACTATTTTGTTTGGGTGATTTGGTTCTCTGTGGTTGGCTCTTTGGGGATGTTTGTTTCTAGTCTGTTGTTTTCTTTTTTATTATTGTCTTGTCTTGTTGTTAGCTTGGGTTTCTTGTTGTTGTGGTTATTTTGGTCGTTTGTTGCTACTCGAGTGGGCTATTTGGGCCTTGTTAGCTTGGTTGCGTGTTTTAGTTTCCTTTTCGATCTTCTTGGACTTGTTAGTTGTTGTCTTGATTGGCTGTTGTGTATCCCCTTATTTTTATTTTATGTTCAGTTTGATTAATTTTCAGTTAGTCTTTTTTATGTAGGAAGTCTTTTAGCTAGTAGTGAATTTTGTGGGCATCTTGCATTTGATCTTCTTTCGAGTAATTCTGATTTATTATTTATCTTCTTGTGTCTAATTTTTTGTGGTTTGTAGCCTCTTCTTCCTATGCTAATTCTTTTTAGTTCAATCAAGCTTTGGATGCTTTTCGACGTGTGTGGACTTCATTGAAGAACTAAATAGGCCTTTTTTAGGGTTGTTTTCTTGCCTCTCTCATCATTTTCTTTTTGGGGGTTTTACATATATACCACTTTATTTCATGCTATTTACATATCTAACACCCAAAATATTAATATTACATGACTATCACTCATAGAACAAATTTGAATGCATGGAATGAAATATTAGTTTATAGGATGGTATGAATGATAGAAATGAATTATAAGAGTGATATATTTGATATTAAAGTTGTATATGAGCGGTAGGTATGTAATATTAGTATTTTGGGTGTTAGATATATAAATAGCATGAAATAAAGTGGTATGTATGTAAATTCTCTTTCTTTTTATATTCTTGTAATAGTCAAGATCATTGGCTCATTAGATTTTCTTTTAAATTGATTTTTTTTTTATAGAGAGCATTTGACCCTCTAAGATAGGCCCCTATGAGAGTTTTATCAAAATAAAAAGAGAGTAAATAAGAAGATGCTTAAAGCTAATTGTTATTGTTGCGTCCAGGAGTATTCGCGTTATAGTTTTTCTGGAGTGGCATGGCTCGTAAATAGTCTTGAGATCAGGGGTGAATTGGGAGTGGTTTGAATAGACGGCCGATATCGAATCATTTGATCATGCACCGTTCGTTGGACATTTGAAGGCCTTAATGAAGTCATAATTTGGTGATCTTGGGTTCGTTGGATTCCTCTCGTCGAGCCGTTCTATTCGAATATAAGCTTGTTAAAATCAGAGACCGTTTGGCAACTCAAATTGTGGTTTAAACCTCCCAACAGCGCTTCGGGCCCTTGATTCGGACTCATTTGGGCTTGGATTGGGTTGAATTTGGTGTCGTTGGGTTCGTATTTCCGAGACGCTCAGTTTGACTATAAGCTCTCTAAAATCGGAGTTCATGTGCTCCCGAATTTAATTTTTGAAGTTTCCGGCTAGCTTTTTGCCTCGAGATTCGTGCCCGATCAAGATAATTTTTGCATGACGTATCAGTTATTAAAGTTACCCCATTGCGTTGGTTCGGCACGAGGAGATCACTAATAGAATTGATTGGAGATGGGCTAAGAAGCTCACAAAATTAAGGGTAAGAAATTAACTTTTTATGGAAATTGGTAAGCGATATGTGTAATGGGCCATATGTTAGCGACCTAATGAGAAGGTAAGATGCTAGGATGGGAGAGGATTGCTACTTAAATTTAAATTAAAGGAAAAAAAAAATCTTTTAGAATGGAGAGAAATATGATAAAGGAAGTTAAATGTGATAGTAAATCAAATATTTTTATTGACTCTTTGTCTTAAAACTAGAGAATTTTAGATTATATTTAAAAAATTGTAATATGATCTAAGTGGTATATGGCTTGTTGTGGATAGACCTTATAAAATGACCTTTGGAGTATCATAAGTTCTATCTATAAAGTAAGGTGTCTAGGAGAGAAAGTGAATGGTGAGATTATTTTGAAAAAACTTGTAAATATTTTGAAAAATTATTTTAAAAATTGAAACATATAAATTATCCAAATCTTCAAATAAGAAAAAAAACAAAGACGAACAATTCCAGCGCCTTAAATAAACAACCTTGAACACTAATGTGTGCAGTTCATTTATGTTCGCGAACAACATCATTTGAAGATTGTGAACAAGCTCGACATTAAACATGATAAGAAACTCAATAAAAGTTCGATTCTTGTTCGATTTAAAACTCGTGAATAAGCTCGATAAATATATTCATATAGATTAATCATATTTTCATTTTAAATAGACAACTGTTTTTATTATAAAATTAATTTCATTTTATTTTATATCTTTAATAGAATGAATTTGTTCGTGAACAATATATATTTTGATAGTATAAAAAAATTCTCTAAATATGTTCACGTACATAGCTTGTTAAGGCTTGTTTGTTTAAAGCTCGATAAATACTAAACAAACCGAATATGAACCAAACATGTACACTATTAATTTAAATGAACCAAACATGAACACAAACAATAAGTCTCGAATCAAATACGAACCGAACTTGAACAAGCTAATAATAAACGAACTCAAACATGAACACTCAAATACTCGGCTCAGTTAGATTCATTTGCAGCCCTATTTAAGTAAGAGATTAATGAATAAATCAAACGTAAAGAATAAGCAGCTAATACTTTCATTCTTAGCATAATAACTATAATATTAATAAAAATTTGTTGAAAAATCTATTTATCAATTTCTTAGTAGTTTTGAGATCTCCTTTATGGATAACTAGCCTAAACATAGAGAACTGTAAGAACTTTTGTTCGTGCAAAATCTAACTTCTCCCTTCTCAAACTATAAATTGCTCAATTTGAAAGAAAAATTGAGTTTATAACAGTCATTCACTCCATCCTAACTAGTGCTAAGCATTCTTTAAAGTTTGCTGGACTAAGAGAGAGGCATCTTCGGATTTTAGCTCTTCCTTTAGAATTTTTATTGGGCCCGGCGTCCGAACGTAGTCAAACGTAGCTCTACGTTCAGACGCCAATAGATAACTGCGGACCCGAACCGGCAAAAACTGGGTTCATAGCACGTTCGTTTTTGGATTGATGACGGCCTGACAACCCGACCCGGAAAATTTGTGAATTTTTAAATAAAAAACGGCAGGGATTCAATTTACCAAATTCAAACACGAAGCGTTTCATCTGCCACTGTTAATATTCATCGTCTTCAAAAGCCTTCCGTCCTTTCGAAGTCGGTTTATCGGGCCGCTAGGTGGCACCATTCAACTGGCGTCTGAAGGTAGAGCTACCTCCGGACGCCAGATGTGATAAAAATTCCTTCCTTTATCCTGTTAAGCATGACAAGAGTAAAGAGAGGAGAGAGAGAGAGACACCAGGCTAAAAGCTCCACCAAAGTCCATCCTAGAGCACGATTTTAGTTCCTTTAGCTTTCTTAAGCTCAAAAACAAAAAAGTTGAAGTGGAGTATTTCAGCCTAAGGCTTCACTTGGGACAGCTTCTTTGCTGGTCCTATAATACACCCCTAATACTTTCAAGGCTTTTCTTTTCTTCCACTCAAAATTAACCAAACAACCAAATTTAATAAATACATGTATTTGTTTTACTTTACACTCCTAATTCAGGCAACCAAACAGCCCCTAAGTGTTATCTCAAAAACTATAAATTTTTGCCTTAATGAAAGATCTCAAAATAAAAAAATTATAAAAAATATTTCATAATGAATAAATATAATTCATCAATTTACTAAAAAAAAAAAAAGAATAAAGATTGATCAAACATCAAGAAATCCACCTAAACATTGAAAAATCTTGAATAAAAATTTATGAAATTCAACATTAAAGTGAATAAAATGAACATCTACTCATTCATTATGTTCATAAATATGCTCATCAATTGTTAAATAAATAGCTCACTAAAACTTCATAAATACACATCAAAATGAAATAACTAGTGAATCTTTACATAGAATAATCACCAAAATTTCCAAACTCAAGCCCTACAGTAATATATATAACAGCATTGATAATCATTTATCGATATAGACTGATCATATAAATAGAGCTTGTGAGATAACATCTATGCATGACGAAAGCACAGACGCCATTCAAGACCTTAAATACAAAGTAATACCACCCATTCATGCTAATATAAAATTAGATGGTGAAGCTAAAACCAAATATGAATACATAAGAGAGTTCTTGCTCCATCTTCTTATGATGATTGATCAAAACATTCATGGCTCGTCTTATGTCGCTTCGGCTCAACGCCATCATCATTTTGCTCTTCTTGGTAATGTGGTGTCTCTTTCACTTCATTTTCCTTTTCATGACTAACCAATATATCAATAGCCTCAGGGCCCAAGAGAGAGACATGCTTGCTTGAGATTCGTCTACCAGCTCTTACCTTAGGACCCCAGTGCCGTTCAGGATTTGGAAGAAACCTCGCAACCTTCTTCACTTGAGCTTTGCTGAGAGAAGCAAAAGCTCGAGAAAAATTTGCCTGTCAAGAAACAGAGCAGCTGTTTACAGTTCATAAATCATCTAAATATTCGGGCTCACATGCTACTTCTCAAGTAGGGAGCTTATTTGGCTCATTGGCTGCTTCTAAATAGCAAATATATGGTAGAAAATAATGAATTTTGAACAAGTTGAACGTTACATGTTATTAGAATATCTTACCTGGAGACCTGGTTCCTTGGAAAGAATCACTGATCCAGATTGATCTCGTGGCTGAACTTTAACTGGATGGCTTTTGACCCAGCAGCGCATGATGTCCCAAATGGCTTCCATTGGAGCATCAGTTTTTAAACCAAGAGGATTCACGTGGGTTCCAGAGATACGATATCCGGCATTGAAAACTGCAGATCTAAATATTTCAGCAGAGGGCGAAGTGCATTTCAGAGTGCCGCACAGGTTGTGGAGACTGAGAAAGAGAGGGACATCATGCAATTCCTGTATATCCATTGAAATAATCATGTTTATATATTATTGCATTGTTAAGAATGCCGAACAAAAATGCAGGTTATCTCCATTCATAATAAATAATATCATAAAGAAAATAACACCTATATCTCTTTGTTAGTGGGAAAGTAAGGCTTCATTTGGGATGGCTTTCTTACTACTTAAAACAGCTTTTTTTCAGTACAAAAATTATTGAAAAGCTGCTTTATAGAAAAGCTGTTCCAAACAAAACCTAAATCTGGGCAAAATAGCTTTCAGAAACAACTTCAAGAATTATTTTGTCCACATAAATTTAACCGTGTAGAAAACTTCACTTTGAAGAGACGGACTCATTGTTGAAACTCATTAAGCACATTTAAGTGCAAAAAGTTAGAAGCAGTTTTGTTCCTTGAACTACAATCGAACCCCACTTCACATCCTTGTCATCTTTTACCATATATTTTACTGTCTACCCCACCATTCACAACGCCCTGCCACCTACCGCCCAACATGTAATCCTAACTCGCATCCTCCTCAATTTCAACCATTAAATTCATTTATTGCATTACCAACAAATGTCAAACGAATAGTGATGCGGAGCATCTTGCACCTAAGAAACATGGAAGTAATTACCTCATTCCAAGAGTCCAACATAAAAATAAGAATATTAAAGTAATTACCACCGGGATTATAGACTCAAAATCAAAAGTTATCAGCACGTGTGGTGTAGACTATGATGCACTGATACGGACACGGCAACACGGACACGACACGACACGGACACGACACGGACACGGCATTTTTTTAAAATATCGGACAAGGGTGCCGCGTGGACACGGCATAATAATTTTTTAATATAACATTATATTAAAAATGACAAATAATAATAAATCAATTTCATGTTAACTTGTTTAGCTTATAACATAAAGATGTTTAGTACAAAATGTCTATCCTTCAACATAGAAATTATAATTTCATTTATATATTGATTATTCATTGTTTTTATCTACATAAAATTGTAACAAATCAATCATACTAAGGATATATCAAGTTAAATCGATATGAAGTGAAATCAAAATATCTCAATAATAAAACAACATGAATACAACAATATACCGGTCTGTCGGGGGTCCAAAGGGGGCGCTGCGCCCGTGCGGGAGATTCCGGGGGCAGCACCCCCTGAACAAATTTTTAGGGTAAGAGTAATTTTGAAGTTCTGCTTGTTTTTAAAGTTCATAAGTTGTTTATATGGAAAGATACCGAGCGGTACCGAGCATGTACCGAGCGATACCTAGCAGTACCGAGCTGTACCGAACATGTACCTAGCGATACTTAGCGGTACCGAGCATGTATCTAGCAGTACTGAGCATGTACCTAGCGGTACAGAGTATGTACCTAGAGGTACAAAGCATGTACTGAGCGGTACCGAGCATGTACCTAGCGATACCTAGTGGTACCGAGCATGTACATTAGCTTTTTATTATTTAATAACCGGACACGCGTGTCCGATTTTAATTTTAATTTTTTAAATTGCAACACTCCAATGCTGTGTCAGACACGTGTCCATGCAGTGTCAGACGCGTGTCCGTGTCTGACACTGCATACCCTCTTTAAGCGGAGTGTCGGTGCATCATAGGGTGTAGGAAGAGGAATTCCTTATGGAGGAAGACAACTTGGCAGGGAAGAAGTGGCAACATGCATGAGGACCGAAGAACATAGTGCATAAGATAGGAGAGGCACTTCGGTTCAGTTAAAGTGTGAGACCAACTAGGGGTGTAAGTGAGTCAAGCCGGCTCGAGCTTGGCTTATTAACAAGCTCACAATCGAGCTTATTGAGCGATGAGTTCGAGCTCAAGCCTATATTTGAGCTCGTACATTAAACAAACTTGAGCTCGAACTCAGCCTAGCTCGGCTCGAAAGCATGTTAAGCCACTCGATTAACTTAAAATATATTTTAAAATTAATTTAAATTAGCATTATATAATATATTTTAACATTTTAAATTTATTCTATATTAAAAATAAAAATTCTAGAAAAACTAAAATTTTTAATTTAAAATTAAGAAATCAAGTTCAACAATCGAATTAAGCTCGAGCTTTTCAAATGAGCTCAAGCAATTGAGCCAAGCTCGAGCCTATAAATTTTTTAATGAGTCGAGCTCAAGCTTAGTAAACAAGCTCGAGCTCAATAAAAACTAAACAAGTTTAGCTTGATTAGACAAATACTCAACTCGTTTATACCCCTAAGACCAACAAATTGTGAGGCATGAAGCGTGAGGTGTGAGAGGTGAGGGATAGAAAGAGTTAATAGAAGCTTTTATTGATTATATTTACTTATATTTGTTAAAAAAAGTGCTACTATAAATCATGTGTCTCACAAAAACTAATACAGGGGTGCGCCTTGTGGCATGTCTCACATTATGTGAGGCGTATACCTCATATAACTAGCCATGAGGCATACGCTTCAAAACAAAAATTTTTAAAAAGAGCTAAGACATCTCATATTACTAAATTTTAAACAATGCTCTATGCATACTCGATTCACTATCACCAATGATGCCACCCTTTGGGGTACACACCCATTTGCATTCATACATGTTTTTTTTTTTTTTCTTTGCACTCATACATTTATGATGCATATATATGCATCAATAAGCTCCGCAAAACCACCCTCCATTCACTCATGCGGTCATGCCAAATGGTATTGAAAGAATAAAATCTATTTTATGTAAAGCTTCTTTATAATTTCTGCCTAGTCACCTTCAGTATATCTTTTTCCCTAAACTTTTGACATTTTTCTCTATCTATTTTGATTGTTAATTTGTATCGAATATCAAATATCGCTTGCTAATCAGATCAATTTTTTACTTAAATCAAGTTCAAATCAAAATTAAGAACTAATTAATGAGCTTAAAAAACTTGAATCGAGTTGCGCCTCAATCAAATTAACCCAACTTAAAATCAGATTGAAATGAAATTACATACATGTAACAATGCCTAAACATGTAAATGTGCATGCATATTTGTATTCACACATATGTTCATCTAACAAAAACAACCAATCTCAAATCCTCCTCGCCTCCGAAAAATGAAGTCTGTCTCCTACTAAATCTCCTCCAATGCTCCTCACATTTCTCTGACCCATATTTTCTACTGCCACACTATCATTAATCAACGGCCACTACATCCTCCTAGTCCTCATCCAGTTATTATAGTTCCTAAAAAGACAACGGAAATTAAAACTGAAGGGAGGTGTTGTAACTTGCATCTTTTCAATGTACAGCAATCATTTGTGCAAAACCTCCTTTTGTAGCTCTTAATTTTTAAGGGAATTTGGACGATTGCTTGAAGTATATTTGGATTGAATGAATTAGCAGGAATGCAATTATACCTTTATAATTTCATATTGAGTGCTTGCAATTAATAATAAGTTATTGAATTTACCCCAGGAATGTGGACAAATGCATTTTCCTATTAAGAGTATCCTACCAAATCCTAATGAAAATGGGAATTAAAGTTTATCAAGTCGTCATTGTGACTCATAACCCCATTTCCACTAACAAACAAAAAAAATTTCATGTTTGAAGTATAAACAAACACCCGCATATCTGTTACCCCCACTTCAATGAGACCCCAACGCATCCCCCACTCCCTCTCAATTAACGAGAAATCAGTATTATTTAAATGTTTAGTTTGACATTTGAGCTGTTCACTTATATCATTGAGTTGTATTCATGTGTCGTTTAATTAATAAGTTTTGGATGTTTGACATTACGTGATTATGTTTGCAAAGATATTTTGATGAGGACATCGCTTAGAGATTCAGACATGTGTACCGGCGACAAAATCGTAGATCGACGGCTACGATTCAGCGTCTTTACTTTTGACGCTTTATGTTTTATCTAGTCTTGTTGTATGCCTGATGTTTTATTTAGTTTTGTTGTTTTCCGATTTTAACCCTATGGGGAGTGTCTTGTCATTGTAGCCCGGAGGGCAAATTTGTACTTTTCTTTTCATGGTAGAGGCCTATATATAATGGCCCTATGTGTTGTAGTGGGATGATGAATGTTTAATAAAATTTATTGTGTTTCTTCTTCTTCTTGTGTGATCACTAGAGAGAAGGGAGAGAGCTCGAGATGAGGAAGTGCAAGGCCCACCAATCGTTGGAAGAGTCCACGGCTCGTAGTAATTTCCTCTTTTCTATTTTATTTGTGTTTCCCTCATCCTCCTTCCCCTCTCCCCACCCGTCATCCCCTTCCAAGTCCACCTCCACCGATTGCTTAACCTCTCCCACCCACTTCATCCTCTAGCTCCACCACCCCAAGTCCAACCACCATCCAAGCCCCCTCAATCCAACGGCAAATCCCCCTCCCCCCTATGACCACCGGCCACATACCCATTAATCAAGCCATTATGATGATTTCAATCAACATAATGACTCCCTAATTTAGATCTAGCATTAAAGGAAGAAATTAGTGAATTTTGAAATTCAAAACTTTCCTTATTTGCGAAATTTAAATAAGGAAAGTTTTCAAATTTGAAGCCATCCGAAATTTAATTTTGGAGGATTCATTATTTTCCCACCTAGTTGTCATATCTTGTTTGAAAAGAGCCTAACTCCCCCATAATCCCCTCCCCCCCCCCCCTCCCCCTCCCCCCCCCCCTCTCCCTCTCTCCCCTCTCTTCTCTCTCTCTCTCTCCATGCCGCTGACCCCATCTTTGGCTTTCCCCCATTAATCCTCAATCAATGCCTTAATTACATTTTGAAATCAAATTTAAAATTATTTCCCTCCAAATTTAATCAAAATCTGAGATTAATTTCAAATTTGGATTAAACCACACCTCCACCCTAACCTAACCTAAGCTCCTTCAAACCCTAGCCACCTCTTCAAGCCGTCCCCACCCCTCTCCCTCCTATTCAAGCCATCAGCCTCCCTCTCCACCACCCTTTTCTCTCCTTTTGTCTTCCTCCTTGTGTTCTCTCCTTCTCATGCTTATGGTGCATGGCCGATCCTGAGGTCGATCACGGCTTCGCTTACAACGACCGAGGGGAAATCGACATCCTCCGCTCCCCCTTCTACGAGCCTGACTGAGAATACGACAAAACGGTGGAAAGATACGTCAAGCGCATCCTCTACTGCTTAGCGAAGACGATCGATCTCCAAAAACCTAAGATGCCTTGGCTTCTCATTGGGAGATCTACCCCTTCTCCGTCCGTGGCTACCCCTCCATCAATAAAGGCCTTCGGTACTATCTTCCTAGTGGCAGTTTCTCTCATCGTATGCTTTGTCTTCACCCGCTAAAGCCTAAGAGTGATTGAGTGAGTAGGAACTCTAAGTGACCATGTCTTGATGTACGCTGTGGATTCTTGATTACTTGCTATTAGTACTACTATTTAATTTTTATTGTTATTGCAATTGTCCTACTAACCTCTTGTAACGGCTTACCATTATCTAATCTTCCAACTGAAAGTTCTAAGAATTTAACTTGATTGAAGCATGAATTACTAATTAGCAACGCGCAAATTCAATCATTATTGTTACAATCCCAAAGCAACTCTTTGCATGTCTGTTCCACATCATATTTTAATTTCTTACATTTGTACTATTTACATATTTCTATATTTTCTTAAAATCTTTGACATGTTGGTTGCTTATTATCTAGTTAGAGGTGCACCTATCAAATCCCATGCCTCAAGCATAAAAAAGGCTTTCACCCTATAGTGAACATTAATTAGCAAGAATTTATCTTCTCGTTTATGTTCCATGGTTTAAAATTGTGCAATAAGAGGCGCGCCTTGAGGCGCCTCAGCACAATTTCGTCCATTTAAGCCTCAAAGTCCACGCAATGAGTTTAGGATTTAAGGCTCAAGTTTACTGAGGCGCGCCTCGCCTCATGGTTGAGAGGCGTCCGCCTCTAAAAATTAAAAAAAAAAAAAAAAAGCTAGGTACATGCTCGATACAACTCGGTACTGTCAGGTACATGCTCGATACAACCAGGTACATGCTCGATACTGCCAGGTACATGCTCGGTACCGCTCGGTACTGCTAGGTACCTGCTCGGTACAGAACTTCAAAATTACTCTTACAATAAAAATTTGTTCCGAGGGCAGCTTATTTCGGAGGCGCTGCCCCTGGAAACCCCCCTAGGGGCGCTGCCCTTTGACCCCGCGACCTAACGGGGCAGGTCGAACCCCGCCAGGGGGCAGCGCCCCCTTGGACCCCCAGCAGACTGGTATATTATTGTATTCATCATCTTTAATAATAGTTGTTACTTGTTAGAGTTCTTCTTCTTCATGAGTACATGCTTTATATAAATTTTCTTAATGTAGAATAAGTGAAGCATAATTGTTCAAAAATATTTAGGGAAGAGGAAGATAACTGATATTGAGGAAGGAGGAGCTGATTGGGAGACATTGGACTCTATAGGAGAGGAAGGGGAGAGAGCAATTCATCATAATGATGATTCAGATGAAGACCCCCTTAGCGATGACAGTGCTGATGACTTATGAGTTCTTATGTGATATGTCATTACTATTTATTTTTGAAATTATATGTTAATGAAAAGAATACTGTGATTTGGGAAAGATGCAGTTTGAGTTGAACAATATTTCATGTTGTCTTATTATTGGGATATTTTGATTTCACTTTATATCTTGTGCATTTTTTATGTTTTATATATTATTTACTTATTAGTATATACAAATTTTATTATTTTATGTTTACGCAATTTTTTTATTTTGAGGCTTGCGCCTGAAAACGCCTTGAGGCTTACGCTTCGCCTCACGAACGAAAAACGCCTCAATACCCGATTACGCAATTTTAAACATTGTTTTGTTCCATTAGTTTCTTTTAAAAATAACTACTAAGAAAAACAAAATCAGATGCTCATTTAAAACTTTAATCATGTATGATATTAACATAACAAAAAGCAATGTCGTGTCATAAAGGAATCAATTCGAATGTCTCAAAAGGTATGTAAGATTAATGGCAACGCTAGAAGTAAAGCGAGGTGGTACCTCTGATATAGCCGTTAGAACAGCAAAAATTTTCCCATATGCAGGATATCGTTCTCTCAAAGCTTTGACATTTTCCAATATAGAAAGGACCCATTCCTGATCATGCATTGGAGCAGACCATATTGGGCCACCCATATTAAACTTTTTTCCACAATCCGTGCATTCTTGAGGAACAACAGGGCCAAATCCAGGAGCATGCTTCACACTGTTATTCTTATTAAGCCAACGTAAGAAAAGAAACAAGATTTATAAGGATGAATCACTATAGTAGATCTTCAGAAAAATAAATATGTGAAGACCATGAAATCATTGGCTGTGTACATACTTTGGAAACTGTCCTCCCAACACATTGCAGATGGAAAGAATCGCAACCAACACACTGGTAAACATAGGAGAGTTTAAGAGGTGTGTTTTTTATCGCACTTGCTGAGCTGCACATTGACAACAGGAGATTATATGCACAATAATATAGAAACAACACAAAATCAGTTTTTTTATGAGTGTTTAGCTGCAATATATTGAAGTAAAAGCTTACGTGAATATGCGAACAAAAACACGGATATAGAAATCCATTTGTATAGAAAGAATTGGAACAATGTAACGTTTGTAACGGTTTGCATGGCTCTGCATCAAATTTAAACATGAAAACGTCAAATTCTTGCAAAAAAAAAAAAATCAATGAATTAATCAAAGCAGCATCAAAGTAGAGGTTTCAATACCTCAATGCAAGCAAGAAGAATCCTCAAAGCCAGCTCATGGCAGTATTTTCCTTTCAAAGGATAAGAACCATACCTATTTTTAAATTTTGTAATTAGGCAGATAACATAAGCAATATTTGACGTAAAAGAAAAAATTACAATATCTCACTTGGAATAGCAAACCTCCCCATTTCCGCCGCATAAAACAGCCATGTCAGTGGCAGTGCACATTAAAATTCCACCATCAGTGACTGCTTGTACAGCTGAGTCTAAAAAAACAGAAGGTGATCCATATGGATCGAGATCCACCTGGAACAACAAACAAAAAATGAAAAAAACAAAACAAAAAAAGAATAATTTCCAAAATAAGTGACACCTGATTCAACACAAGCTGTAACATCTGCAATGGAGCTTTAAGAGAACCAAGATGACAATAAGAGAAATAATAATGCACATAAAATTATCGATCACTACAGAATTACAAAATAAAAAGTAATGGTCTTCTAAATAATTACCACATCAAATTCTTTCTGATTAGTAAGCATGTAAACTCGTGCATCTGCATGATAGGCTTCAACCTTTGAACATGCAGTGGACCCATTGAATTTTATATTTCTCATGCAAGCTTTAACAGATGCTACAAACAAGGTGATATTAAAGTATATCAAGAAACAGAAAAAAAAAAAAGAACTGTCAATAAATAATATATTGTAAAGAAACTATCATAAAAAAAGAATCAGGATGCCTTCATCATTGTCTAGTGCTATAACTGGCCCTAGCCCATCCACTTCACGAGCATAACGAAGTGCTCTCAATCCAGAAGCAGCCAAAGCCTGCAATGCCAAGGTAATAAGTATTTATACAAGGTGTATGAGTAACATATGATCTCATCAGAAGAATAACTTTTCCAAAGATGTACCTCAAGAACTTTGGGCGCTTTCGGTTCTCCATGAACTTTGACAGAGATCTTTTCTGAGATGTCATGTGATGCATCAACAGAGTCATTATCCTTCCCTTGATGAAGCCCATTTGAGGTGACATCAAGACCAATAATTGCCTCTTCACCATCAACAATGTTTGTTTCCTTCATTGTTGAACTAGATGGTGTGGCTTCATTGATTCTAGTTTCAGATTTTACTTTTCTACGCAACATGGCATCATATTCTTCTTTGCGTTTTTCAACGAACATCCTTAAAACAGCAATAGACACATCTCTGTTGTTCACCTAAACATAAGCATTACGATAAACATCTTCAGAAACTTTAATAAAGGACTTACAGCAATTAAGAAAGAGAAACCACAATTGTGTAACAATAAGAGGTCCAGCAAGCATTAGCAGTGACAAAAGAGTAAAGGCTGTAAATGTACACACATAATAAGCATAAGCACAAATCTCCATCATAGGAAACTATTGGCATCCAATCTAATTTAACTACTAACCAAACCCGATTAAAGCTCCCCCCACCAAGAAGTAATATATGTTTGCATTTTTTAATCCAAGATGTGAAAATAGTCATTGCTCATCCAGAAAAGGGAACAATTATGGTATGTAAAGAAGAAGAAATGGTGCCCCACACAAGTACCGAATAAAAATTTAAAAAAAATGGAAAGATTTGAAAATCAACTCATTCAATGAGTAAGGATTGAGTTGGATTCAATTGTTTACAATCTTAATCACATACAAAAATCATTCAACATGAGCAGTACCACATGAGGGGCTTAAAATATTATATCATCTTATTTTCCTTTAGATTATCAATTATCATGGTTGAAATTTGAAAAGATGTCTAATTTATAGTTATATGAGAATCTTGGTAATTATCCTCAATATATTCTATCAACAAATAGTTGTAGCTAACATAAGTAGTAAACAATTCAATCTAGTGATTTCACATGATAATTTAAACACAATTCATTAAACTTAAAGGAACAGAACAGAATCGAAATCCCTAATGGATTATATCTTGCTCTGAAGCAGGTTTTTCAACCTAGCAATCAACTTTTCAAGAGAACTCTAACATAAAAGCAGAACTCCCAGAAAGTAGTTCATTTAGCATGTTTAAAGAGTTTTTGGTCAAATAATTTTAACCATGTCATCAGTAAGGCATCCCATAACCTCAGAAATATAAAAAGCAACTTTTAAAAAGGTTAACTCCAAAACCAATTATTGATATCCAATCCAAAAGCTTTGCCGCCAATTACAAGTTCATGTTCACTAAATTGTTCAATAATCTAAACATTTTGATGATTGAAATATAGCTTAACAAATGAATCTTTCGCGTTAATTTCTGGACTACAACTAGCATGCCAATCCCTTTACCTAACAGCATAAGAAAACCCAATCAAAACAGAACAAAAAAAAAAAACATTTTGGTTGATGCAAATTAATTTAAACACCAAAAGAAGATAGATTTCACTCATATCGATATAGGAAAGCGTAAAAAAGAATAAATAAAACACTATGCTGGAAGCAACGACTAGACAGTAGACGGAAGAAAGCGCAACTAATACCTGGGCTTTGTTGAAGAAGACGGTGTTGCTGGAATGCATGAGTATCTCCGCCTCCCCTTCCTTAATAACAGTGTAGCCATTGAGCACATCCCCGTTGTCGCCCATGATGGGTTATTGCAATACAAAATCCAAGAAAAGAGGCCCAGAAGAGAAGACGAGCAGCATAGAGGACGAAGAACCGAAGAGAAGGTTTTGTTTTGATTTACTGCGTCTCCGCGGCTCTCCCGAACCCTAACTTCTCCACTGTGTACAGTACCCACCATTACCTGGCATTATTTTTCTTATTTAAATACCCGGTAAAATATATATATACATACGGTCAGAATAGGGTGTCAATTCGGGTCAACGGGTCGGGTTCGGGTCGAATTCAGAACTGACCCGATATTATTCGGGTCAACCTGAACCCGTCCCATTTTTAAAACGGGTCAGGTTTCCGGACCTGAACCCGACCCGATTCGAGCTCGGGTCAACCCGATCCGACACGAATGATCCGAAGTTGACCTAAAATTACTAGTTTTCAAGTCAAAAAACAGGCCAATCTTCGATTTTCGGGTCAAAATCGGTCAATCTCGGGTTTCTAGGTCAAGTGCAGGGGGCAGTGAGGGTTAGGCGCGAGTGGTCAAGACAAGGGGCGAGCTCGTGAGGGCAAGTCTACCTAAGAGATTTTTTACTTCTTTTTATTTCCCCATTTTATGTTTGGCTTATCCTCACCATTTTTCTTTACAATGTGGTTCTTAAAATTGGGGCAGTCATATTTCAAATGTCAAGATTTTCTACACCAAAATAAATAATATATAAAAAAAAACTTATTGTTTTTACCATTTCTACCTTTGCTCCAATTTTGTTGAAGCTTGTGTTGTGCTTCAGGAAACTTTTGAATTGGCTTGTTATTAATGCTATCTCCTCACTCGCTTCATCCTCTAAGCCATTTTTATCTGTCTTTGGCCTTTAGCACTGTAGGGTTCTCTATTATATTGTCACATGCATCCAAAAGTCTTTGACTCACACTTTTCTTGTAGGCAATGAGTGAGCCAAGTGGATTATCAACAGAATAAGTATTCAAGTCTTTTGATTAGTATATGGCAGTGACTTTGGCATCAAAATTATCAGGTAGATAACATAAAATTTTATTGACATTCTCAAAGTTTGAAAGTTCTCTACCTAAAGCATGCAATGATGTCGGTATCTAAGTAAACATAGCGTACATGTATGAGGTAGTCTCATAACATTTCATTCAAAAAAGTTCATAATCATGCAATAATATATTTAAACTATATTAATTGACTTCACTAGTACATTCATATGTAATACATAGTCTATTTCAAATATCTATGTCAGTGATATAGGTAGAAACTCTCATGTAATCTTCAGACTTAAGTGCACATAAAAAATAGTTTAAGCAATTAGCATTCATTTGTGCAAGGACTTATTCTTCTCTGCTCCATTCAGTAAAAGAAATGTTAGTTTTGACTCCATCTATAATATGTGATGGTACAGAATAATCAGTTTGAATCATATGTCATATTTGAAAATCAATAAATTGTAAAAATGTAAACATGACAATTTTACAAAAATCAAATGAAATATTATCAAATAAATGTGGTTGAACTATAGAATAAGCCTACATGGTGTTCCTATTTTCGAAATGTGACATGGATCGTTTTCCTCTAGGTTTTCAAAAACACTATTTTTGAGTACCACACTGATACCAATTGAAAGTTTGATAAAGGATATTAAGCCGAAGTGAACTATCCCTAGGTACACAAAGATGGTGGTTGAATTGATATTTTTTAAACTATTGCTTACTTCGAATGATAAAAGTTATCTTTTTTTTTTTTTTTTTTTTTTTTTTTGGGAAAAAAAAAAATTTTTTTTTTTTTTTTTTTTTTTTGTAGGTAAGAAAAACAACCAATACCTATCACCTAATGCGAAAGCAAATAGATTTATCAAAAGTTACAAAGATGATGATATAGTCTAATCAACATAATAAAATAACTATCACAAATTTTTACTAAACAATTATCACAAAAATTAAATGCAAAAAATAGTAAATCAAACAAACACAGTAGAGATTTATAATATTTCGATCAAATCATGACCTATGTCCACTCCCTGAAGTCCTCCTCTCCAGGTATTGCACTAAACTTTTAGTAACTCTCTTTTAACCCCCACAGCTAGATGGAGAAGCCCTTATAAAATCTCTTCTACCAACCCGATGCGATAGAGGATCATAATATTTTCACCCTCCTGGTGAGGGTAGAGAGCATGGAATCTTTTCTCACTCTCTTGGTAAAAGTGTAGAACATGGATTCCTTTTTTAACCTCCTGGTGAAAGCGGATAACTTGGAATCCTTTTTCATCCTCCTGATGAGGCGAAGTAGCCGGGTCCTTTAATACCAAATAGTCTTCTTCCTAAAGCTTCCTTCAAGACAAACCTTGACACATATGGAGGAGCTTAAGTGCAAGTTCACCAGAGCAACCGTAAAGAACTCCCTCTCACACTCCCTTGAAACCTAAAAGGATCTTCTACCTCTCTCATAAACTTCATCATTTCTCTCATAAGCTCTAGGCTTTCTCTTCAAGCTTTTTTCAGAAGAAAATAACTTAAACAATGGTTAAAAGACACTTATAAAGTCTTATGAGAAAGTTTAAATAGTTGGCTTAGAAAAACACTAAAAATTCAATTCTAACGACTCTGATTATATAGTGCGATCCAAGATCATACAATACGATTAGTTCATACAACCCTATTAGTATTATACAAAGAGTTAGACATTGTACGATCAGTTTAAATATTTGAGATGATCATCTAGTATAATGTAATCATCGTCCAGTACTATCAGTTCAATCGAATTGGATTATCGTCCTGTATGATTGGTGATGATAAAATTTTATTCCATGCAAAGATCGGGTCATAAATTACGATTTGACCAATCGTACGAGACGATCTAACTAGACCAATTTATCAAAATTTGATCCCTAATTACAGGATTAGTTTAGGCAAAATTTGATTATATCATACAATACTATTAGTACATAATTTGTATTTCAAAATATTTTCTAAATTATAATTGGCGGCTGAGATCATGATTTTAGCTGGTCATTCTATACGATATGTATCGTATAGTGTGATTAGTTCAAAATGCTTTAATTATCCCAATTATTTGTTTTAATGATTTTCTGAATAGCAAATCATGTAGTACAACATGAATCATACAATATGATTAGTTCAGAAAATTACACTTTTAATTTTTCTCACTATCTCACTCTAATGATTGTGTGTGTGCATGGTCGTCAGGCTAGCATACACTCTTATAGGACCTGTCTCAAGAAATTAAAAAATAAATAAATGAAAAATTATAAAATCTTTTAAAATACCCTATTCTACCCAATCTTAAACCCTAAATCTTTATTGAATGATGCATGATGTACTTAAAATGTTAGTACACACAAAAACAAATATACACTACAAATACTATGAGACATAATTAAAGATGCAATCAATAATATTTTTTATCATAAAAAATATAAACTCGGGAGCTCGAGTTGCAACAAACATTACATTTAAGATGTGCAACAAATTGTACTTGTAAATGAGATGATGGCAGATCGTTATCAAGAAATGAGATATTGTATGACATAAATCGCTATAGCATTTTGAAAGTTACAAGACAAGTATGTGAGGGTAATTTGTAATGCGACGAAGGAGGACATCAATGATTTGATCATATCATCCTTAAGGAAAAAAAATCATGATTTCTATGCTCCTCCACGAGAGTCAAATGAAACATCCAAACTTAAACTAAGATAAATATTGCACTACTCATTCATTATTTTCTAAAAGAAATAATATGTTGAAATATTTGATTGATATAAAAGAATTGGGTACAATAAAGAGAGATAATTTATTAAGCTTTTACATTCTCTCTTTCTATACCTTTATCTTTTCTTTTTTGTGTTGATACTCTTTAGGAGTTCTTTTATGAACAAATTTTAATTTGGAGTACTACATGCATCATATCTTTGATCATATTTTTGTCTCATATAAACTTAAAGTTATTAAAGTGAAAGTTAAAGGCTCTTTCTGCAATAATCTCTCTTATATGCAATTATGGGCTTCTTTTTTAATGGAATCATAGAAAAAAATTTCTTAAATAGCCTCTTGGGGAATGATCGTATCAATCCGATCTTGTTGTATAAAATCAAATAGATTCAAGAAAAACTTATAGAAGTTAATTTCCAATTTTGAAAGCTAATGTGCACCATATGTTGTTTTTAAACTCGGGTGATTAGTTTAATCCTGCACAAATCATTGTCAAAACATAATTCAATTATGAATTATGAGTTTTATAGTACTTAATGAACCCAAAATAAGCTAAGAAATTGAAATGGAGAAGAGAAACCATAACTAGTTAAAAATACTATGGGAGTCTCGCAGCGTTGGGATGGTCGGTGTTGTAGCATTAAGCTCTCTGTTTAAGATGAAGGTTTGAGGGAGCCTTGCAGCACTGGTTGGCGCCATCGCGGCGCTGATAAACTCTTAGGGTTGAGGGATGTAAGAGTATCTGAAATATTATATTGGAGTGTGCAACGATGCTAGAAAATGGGCACCGCAATGCCAGTCCAAAATGATATATATATAAAAGAAGGAGAGATAAATATTATAGACTCCATTCATCTTATAATTTGTAGAAGCACTTAATTCGTCTGCTCCAAACTTTAGGCAATGATGAATTATTATTAGCAGAGCTATGATTTGTGCTTTGTCTCAATACTAAGTTCTCTATATATATTATATATTATCCTTGATTGCCTAACTATAGATAAAGTAAACTTACTCATAGATGTTGGATACTATTTCTTGAGTCCAACCCATTTCTTTTCTGAAAGTCATAGGTATTCAATTTAGGCTTCATTTGAGACGGTTTTTTACTGCTTCTTAAAACAGCTTTTTTATACAAAAATTTATTAAAAAAAAAATATACTAGAAAGTTATTTTAGAAAGCAGTAAGAAAGTCAAATATGAAAGTTAGAGTGTTAGATGCGTAAATAAGATAGTTTCAAGTGTTATGCAAGTAAAAATCCCTTAATTTTATAGAGCCATTGAATCTTCCTTTATTATTTTTGTTCAAGCTACTCAAATAAATTATATTGTATATATTTCAAATTTGTAATTATGTTTTTCTTATAATATAATTAAGCTTAGAATCTAAAAACTATTAAAAAAATATCTCTAATGCCCAAATGTAAAATCAAAAATAAAATAC